CATCACAGCAACATCCAACCCACGACTGTTGATTGGTTATGGCTAAGCTGTCACCTAAAAGGAGCTTTGACCAAAAACCATGGAGCAGGCGTAACGCCGGTACTCCGCCCTGCAGCATGACAATTTCCATTTCCTCCATTAAGCCAAAAGGATGACAGGTCTACCTTGAGGTCTGCCACGTTGTGCCTTTATCGGCCTCTTGAAAATCATGAAATAAGATGACCTTTTGATTCCGACAGCCTTCACCTATCGGAGGACCCTTTTTCGATAATGACGTAAAGCAGGGGATAAGCTCTTCTTTTCTGGGAATATCAGTCCACGTTGGTGAAGCAGGCAGCCAGATTACAGCTCTTATAGGCTTAGCAACGAGAAGGAGATTGCAAATTCCATTAGACACAACCATCAACGCTCTGCGTCCTTACGTCATACGTAAATTTGGGAAAAACTGCTGTTTTTAGGCGCGAGCAGAAAGCAAGAAGGGAAGGCTGCTTGCCACATGCATATATACAACGCACACACAAATGTGCTTAAAGAAGCCTAGAGATGGGGCACTCCGAACAGGCCTTTTCGGCTCCATGTCCGAGGAGACTGTCAAAGATTTTAAGGGAATGATTGGCTTTTACATTTGGAGAAAGATAATAGAATTGTACTCGGCAGACAAAGGACAATAATGAAAACGAAGAAGAAGTGGGAGCTAAACATAAACCAGGTTAGAAAATCGGGCCCTAGCTTGTGACCAAGTTACTGCCCTTGAACAGGTTTGAAGATGACATGTCCGAAGAAGGTCTTGTATGGACTGTTTGTGTCCTCGCCAAGGAGGTATTCAACCCCGGCTGCTAGTTTTGCCATCCTTGTCTGTGTCCAACACCTGAAACAAAACAGGCGAGAGTCAAGATCTGCTCGGGACGTACGGGATAAAAACTACAATCCCTCTCTGTTCGGAGGAGATCAGGCAAACGTTATTTATGTATGAGAGTCCTGCCGGTCGTTGATTAATTAAGCGTACGAGGCAACTCCTTTACATTTTTGTTGAAATTCCTAGCAGAAACAAGACCACAACAGGGTGATAGTAGTGACCTACAGCTGGATTTGAACACAAGACAGTAAGATGAGTTGCGCGTCACTGGTCTTCCTCTCTTTTCCGAGATCGGTAGCAGGAGTGGAGCATGGAGACGACAACTAACGTGCAACATTTGGGTCCAGTCTTCATACATTCACCTCCAACCTTGGCCTGGTCGGTCGCCTGCGAATCCACCGCACAGAGACTGGCG